TGGTTCCTTAGTATATCTATAGTCTGTCTAGCGATATGATACATAATAGTGACAGTTGTGTCTGTCTTTTTATTGCACACATAAATTGTATTTACTGTCATTTTTGGAATTTCGTTTGTCGGAAACGACGAAATTCGAAATTTTCTTCGAAACGACTCGTTGGACAGACGTTATTTACTTCCATCGAGATCTTCCAATAATTCACTAAGGTCAATTTTATACATATATACAGGGTGAGCTTTAATAAATGCAAATATTTTCAGGGCTAGTAGATCTCGATAAAAGAAAGATATTTTCTCTTTACCGTTTTTCAAATCATTAAGTCTTTTAGCAAAATAAAACACTAAATCAACACAATACACCAAAACACTTTTACTTTTACACTGGACGCGTTTCGCTAACCATGTTAGCATCATCAGCAGATGATTAAAACTGTCAGCAGACGATTTAAACTGAGTTTTAATCATCTGCTGATGAAGCTAACATGGTTAGCGAAACGCGCGTCCAGTGTAAAAGTAAAAGTGTTTTGGTGTATTGTGTTGATTTAGTGTTTTATTTTGCTAGTTAGGTTTAGTTAGTTTTTTTAATTAATTAAAAGTCCAAAATAACCGAGTTATTTTACTTTGAAAATTTCCAAAATAAAATATTTTTTGCTAAAATTTTGAGAACCACTGGATCTTTTCTGGATTTTCTTTATTGTAAATTTAATCTACTACCTATGTTGCCATATTATCAACAAATTACGTTTTTTAACTAAAAAGTAAAAAAAATTCCAAAAATTTTTCAAAATATTCCAAAATTTCAATTTTTTTTCGCGAAAAAACCTCATAATCGTGTTTCTGGGGTCAAAATATACTACTCCTAAAAATATTTGCACTTATTTAAGACTCACCCTGTATATAAGTTATTTCTCGTCATTTAACTTTAAGCAATATAATTCACTGTTTAAGTAAAAATGTCAAGTTTGGGCTGTGTCGTTATGACAGAGGACCATAGATTTCCAAACTTATAAATTTTTCGTTAGTTCTTCAAAAATAAAATCAAATTTTCCTGATAAGCGTAATAAATTCCTTTTGCATTCTTTTCTTTGGATTTTTGCAATTAGTATACAAAACTAAAAAAAATTGAAATTTTCAGTACCGTATTTGTTACAATAGCGTACAGAAAACTGAGATGATAAAATTTAAAAAAAATATATATAAAATATCTTTAAATGATCTGATTCTCTCTTCTGGACGAAAATGTGTCTTAGGTTGACGTTTTCCTTTTCTTGATGACGTGAGAACACTTGGCATCTTAAAATTAGACATATTTATCTTTTTGGGATCATTTATAGGACAGTAAAGAAATCGTATTTGCAATTATTCTGTTAGATTTACCTCCTTTGTTGCTGTTCTCTCTTCCCACACGTCCCACTTATATTTAAAAGAAATTTTTGTAAATAATAGCCAACTCGATAAACAAAACAATAAGGGAAACAGAAACGACAAGAGAAAAACTTCCCTTTCCTCTACATAAGCTGCTCTAATATACCTATTTTGCAACTTCAACGGCAACTGATTTCTGGTTTTCTGATTCTGATTTTTTTGTAAAAATATTTACTATACATTTAATATCTCTTGTAAAAAAACGCCACCTAGCATAATTCTTGAGAAAAAAAATTGTCTTTCCGACACTGACCTACAAAAAATATTTTTAGTCACATCAAGGGCTAAAATCTAGTGGGTGATATCTGTATACTGCAAAAAGGTGATGTGATATGTTAGCGTGACAAGTAATTTAGTATAATAAAGCCCTGTTGACACGGTACACTGGTACTCGGATCAAGTAGGTACACTTGGATGCTGCCATATAAGTATACGTACATGGATGCTGTGCGCGTCTCACTTGTCCCACAGATTAGGTATACTATATGTATACAGATAAAAATCTTGTCCCTAATTCGTGGTACGAAAATTGTTTTTTATGACGATGAGCAAACGAGTAAAATTTCCTGTGCGCAAAAATAAAGTCGCGTTTAATCATCGTAATAACTGGGCCGGTCAGGCACTGTGCACAATTTTAGAGGCCATAAGTGGTCGTGCTATGTGCGCAAACTAGTAACCTAACTAGTGCACGACTCCAAAAATTGGAACCACGAAAAACAATGCTTTTGACGATAAGTTTATAAACTGTATGATCTGTGCTTGTACGTTGCTTCTATCGTATCAACTGTTTTATCCAAGTCGAGTTGGAAGGCTTTGTAACATTTAAATAAGTTGGTAGCCAGCCTACTTACTTGGATATTACGAAGCTTTCCAACTTCCAACTTGATTTAGATAAAACAGTTAAGACGAGAGAAGCGTTAAGTCAGACTTTAATATAAGTACGGTTATATGGCAGCATCCAAGTATACTTAGAACAAGTCAACCGGATGCTGCCATATAAATATACTTATATGAATGTTGCACGTGTCTCAGTTTTACGCTGTTTTATGGTATCAACTGTTTTATCAAAGTCTAGTTGGAAGGCTTCGTAGCATCCAAGTAAGTTGTCAGCCAGCCTACTTACTTTGATGTTAAAGGTCGTCCAACTCGACTTTAATAGGCGCAGCATTATTATAAGTACAGTTATATTGCAGCATCCAAGGGTTCTGTACTTGATCCAAGTACATTTTGACCGTGTCAACCCGCCTTTAGTGATATTATGTCTCTTTAGTTTCTAACCCTACGCAATATTCTGGTGAAACAAGTTGCAATACTTTTTTATGTTATTTTTTGTTTAATTTTTATAATTTTGTAGTTAACTGTATCTCTATTTCTAGTTGTTAAAATACGACGTAAATTTATATATCATGTAAAAACTGCATTAATGTTGAAAATCTATTAATATAAATATAATTTGATAAATGTTTAATTTTTCGCATTTTATCCTTCACTGAACAAATATTTTGAGTTTACTTACCATTCGTCCTCTAACGAATTTTTATAACCGGATTATATAATTATTTAAATTTCATTTTATACGTCATTGGTGTTTTTAAGACCAAGATGCAAATAACAAAGTTATCTGATGGAAAATGAAAAATACCAAACAGTAATTATTACTCTAATTATTATTTATTTGAAAATGTAGATAAGCGTTCATTTTCTTTTTGGATTTGGATATTTATTATGTTTAATATACATAGGTATAATTATTTATTTTTTTTACAGTTTACACTGACCAACACAAAAAAACGGACATCTTAAAATTTTCATGTATTTTGATGTTCAATATATTTTATTGTAGTGCCGCCCGGATGGCATTGCTATTTTTGGAAAATATTCGTCACATTGAGACTAAAAGGTTTAAACACCTAGATTTTTTGACGATCCTTTGAAAAACTTAACAGGGGCATATCAATTTTATTATAATACTATTTGGACAAATATTAATATGGGTATCCTACCAACATTCCTTTCGTTTATTCTTTTTTTTTACTTTCAGTAATTCTCTCGTATACACAATAAATACACATTGACGTAACTACAGGGGAGCCCGGGGGTGCCGGGCCCCCCCAGGTACTGCTCGGCAAAGGTAGGTACTGCAAAAACAAAAGCTCTAGGGCCCCCCCCCTGGGCTTAACCCCAGGCCCCCCCTCGGCCCACCCCAGGATAAATTTTTCTATGTATATTCAGTAGGTTTGAGAACAAATTGTTAGAGAATTGGTTGAATCTATTTTTTATAACCCTAAGTCATAAAGGTAATCCACCCCAATTTTTTTTAATTTTTTTAACAATTTTTTTAAATAGCACGGAGTAGGGATCATATTAATCCTAGAAATAATTTATATGGCAAAACAACTGTCAGTTAGCATTATATGTATATTATTCTACGTAATGTTGACGATTTTTAACGCTAAAATTAATAAAGAATGACAAAGAGATGTCAGGGTCAGGACAACTCATTAATATGAAAATTTTAAGGTGTCTGTTTTTCATGCCGATCAGTGTATTTAGATAAAGCTTAATGTGTAGTATGTTATGTAACCTAAAAAACAAAGTTATCTGTTATAAATGAAATATACTAAACAAAGTAATTACTAATTATTATTTATTTTAATAAGCAGATAAGCATTCTTTTTCTTTTTTGGTTATTTATTATATTTATGATATAGGTATTTATTTACCTAATTTTTTTACCATATATTTAGATTAAGCTTAATGTATAGTATGTTATGTAAGTTTATTTATAGAGTATTTTAGAATTAAGTAATTAATTTGTTGTAAACAAGTGTAACATTGATAACGACCTATGAGATTAACGAGCTTCAGTCGCGTATGGAAATTCAAAAAACCCAAAAGAACTTAAATAGCTAACTAAGTAAATAGTATAATTAACACTAAAGCCTCTCATTCAGAACCTCTAAATTAGTGGTTTCAACTATATGTAGGTGCTTGATACTTAAGAGTTTACGATCATGAATATAATGTCTAAAAAATACAGTTAAATTAATAGAATATCCTAGCAACAACTTGCGGTAGTCAGTTATATTCATAAATCGATCCACTTTTTTCTTCTCCCTACAATTTCTCTTGGCGGATAATAATTAAAACCAGAATGACATTACTCGCAAATTCTGAAGTTCTTTTTCTACTAATTGAAAAGTACTACAACTAATTTTGACGTTTTGAATGCTCACCTTGAAATTAGGGAACAAACTTCTATGCTAACTGAAACCACTAATTTATTCCAACTAATTTCGAAGTTCTGAATTAGACGTATACATTAGACGACCTGATGATTAGACGTATATGTTGATTTGGAGATGACTGTTAACTAAATTGGAAATTTATAATTGCAATTTATACAACAGATTGAGTTCCACCAATGATCTTTGCTCAAGTTGGTGAAACTATATTTTGGTTAATAATTGTGTTTAACCATTTTCCTTACCAGTAACAGTTTACACTTAAAATTTTTTAGCTGTTTACTCTATTTCATTATTATTAATATGGTCATTTGTTACTTTTCTATAGGCGGAAGAAAAGGATTCCCCGAAAATGTCAATCCTGACGAAAGCCAAAGTGGTCACTCGTGAGAAATTACTTCAGCAACTACAGAGGGAAAAGTTTAAAACGGAGGAGACTCGAAGGAAGCTGATACGAAAAAACTCGCTGTCGCTTTTGGATCCGGAAGCTACCGGAATACCGTCGCTTCTGGACTTGACGCAACAAGATTACGAAGTAAGTTATAGGACCTTTACTATCAAAAATATAAGAGAATAGGTATCTCATGTCTACATTTCATGTTCTTCGTTTCTACATCACTGCACAAATGGCTTGATAACTATTAGTGTAGATCATGTTACATGCATCTATAATGTCCGTCGTTCCGTTATGCCAAGAATATTAAAGTATGAGCTGATATTTTTTAAATAACCCAATAAGCTTGCATAAGATCAACGACGAACAGCGCACCCAAGTACAGTACATCTGCTGGATCTGTGTCTATGAAAGGAATGCGGACAAAAAACATTTAAATAAACAACAATATATTTTATACGTCGACTTGACGAGTACGTCACCGCAAATCGCTCCGCCCACTCATTTTATTGGCTACTTGCAAATTTGTCGAATTTTTATTGATGGGACGCGTCGTCTAATTTTTTACGAAAAACATGGAGAGAATATCGTTTCCCCTCTCACGGATACCCCGTAGCTACAGAACGGACAGACGTACTGTAGCATTTTCACGACTTGCGACCACATGTTTACTAAACACAACGTTGGATTAGTTACAAAAAATAGTTAGCTCCCTACCTTGGGTATTAAAATTAATTTAAACGTTTTTATAACGTTGTGCCGACGTTGAACTAGTACTACAGCAAAGTAGGAAGCTTCTGCGACGTCGAATAAACGTTGTCTTGTAACCTTTTTTGCTTAAGTGATCTTTAGCTGATTCGGACAACGTAGTTACAACGTTGGACAATATAGAGTTTTCCGACATCAGTTTCAGGACCTATTCCAGCGTTATGCAAACGTCGTCTGTTTTACTAATTCCAACGTTGTTTAGATTTCCTTATTCTTATGTTGGTAGGACGTCGAGTCACTACCTTTTTGCAACTGTATTGAACCATAACCTTATATCTTAAATTTTCACTTCATTGTTCTGTTCAGTCAGATAGTTCAGTGCTGTTTTTGTTTTTATAAAAAAAACTTAATTAAAATGGGACATAAGAAAGATACATATAAAACTAAATTTAAATATACATCGACATATATTACCGATAGTTTATCCACTCCCTCGTTTATTTAGATTATAGAGGGCGGCACAAGCTAGACTCTAGGATGACTAAATTAGGCAATCTTGCGACTAGTATACTACCTGTTAAGGCCGAACTGCGACTTTATTAGTCCAGTATGCGACTATACAACTACTCCATCTTAATCTCCAAAACAACAAAGTGAAAGCCGCCATGTTGTTAAATAAGAAAATGTTTCGTTCCTAAAATAGCAATTCCTGCTTTTTGAATACATTAACTTGAAATATTTGACCTTAAAAAACACGCGGAAACAATTTTTTCGACTGCGAATAAATTATTCTCATTTTACTAAAAAAAAATCAAGAAAATTTTTAAAACTTCTTTAATTTTAAGGCCCATTAGTATTTTTCAAAGTAGAAACAATACATTTATCAATAAAGTTGTTTGCGTTTAACTTTTTTGCCTTGGGTAACGAGTTACAGAGTCGGTTAAAGTGTTTCAATAATTATGATCTTCAAACATCCTCCACACTTAAATACTTTTGTTTTGTTTTTCTTCACTGCCATCTGACATATGTCTCTAACTAAATCTAATAAATAATATTTTTACTATAATTATCCCAATTTAGGATAAAACGCGACTTAGACGCCATATTAGTTTTGTATTTCTGTGAATTAGGATTTCAAACAACGTTGCAGTTTGTACTAAATTAGGCTTCTAGCCAACGTCGGTATCCAACGTCGTTTCGACCCAAAAATTATTCTCCAAACTAGTGCAGACTAGGGTTGGCACGAGGTTGTGCCGACGTTGCGCCCCGACGTTTGGTCGCGTGACACAACGTTGTCCCGACGTCCAAATGCTGCTTGAGCATAACCAACAAATATGCATGTAAACCCACACTTCCTGTGTTATTTTCTGTTTACCCAAAATCTGTACATGACTTGGTGTGTCAGTCCCCATTAGCTTTAAATGCCAATTGACTTTGCAATGCCCTGTTAATACTGTTAGTAGACCCACTACAGTTTTGACAGTTTCCCTGTCTTTGCTTATCAGGTCTGTCGTATTTGGCGAATGTTCTAGTATGTTCTCTCTCATGGTTTCTGTCCTGGTGAATTTTTCCACCATTTTACATACATACATACTGCCATTACTTGCTGACGAGTATTTGACATGCATCAGAAGATGGTCGGTCACGCAAGGCGTTTTCTTTCATGGGCTTTTCTGTGACTGAAAAGCCCGATACGTGATGTTATCTGTCTACCGCACTCCGGACATTCAAAAATCTCATTGCTTTGTTGCCTCTTTTCTTTTTGGTTGTCGCTGTTAACTGGGTTTACAATTCTTCTCCATTGCGTTCTGTTGTGAGGTGCTCCTTCCCACTCGTTTTGCATGTTCTTGGTCCCCTTTAAGTTTTCAAGGAAAATATCTTTGTACCTTTTTGTGTTGTCCACCCGGCCTTCTCTTACCGTCTACAAGCTCACAGTAAAGCAGAGATTTTGGTATGCGGTTTTCTTGCTTTCTGCATACGTGACCAGCCCATCTCAAGCGGGATTTTGTAACAATGACGTCAATACTCTCGCAGTTAGTTTCTTCAAGGACCACCATTTTGTGGCTATTTTTGTAATTGCCTCACGGGCCGTAACGGCCGTAAATAGTTCTTGAGCTACGAATGGGGGATTGATGAGCCTGGTTTGCCCATTTCATCTGCATTTTCGTTGTTCTTGTGATCCTGGTGCCATGGTCCTCGGGCTAATATGTTATTGCTACATTCTCCCAATGTTATTATACTATCTGTGAAGAGGTATGATTTCTCCTGTCTTAGTATTTCTGCCATACGTTATAATGAAATGCCGTTATTGCTACCTGGAAAACTGTGAATTCCTTGGATACTCTTACAAGGAAAACCATCCCTTGTTTCACCCCTAATATCCCCGCATATTCGCTTTCTGATGTTAAGAGCCATCTTTATACCACGTTGCCTCAGCTTGAATGGGTATACCGTGTTTCTAGTCTTCCCTATTTATTACAAGGTGTAATAAAAAATAAAAAAAGTGTAGATAGGTCTAGCTTCTAGATAAAAAAGAAAAGAGATAGTTATGATAATATGTAGCTTGTCGAGTAGATCACGCCGTATGTGAATAGGTTTAACCATTGAAACGAGCATTGAAATTAATAAAATGAAGTCAGTTCTATATACTTACTAACTTTATAAAATGTTTTATGATGTCCATCTCTTCATAGGGATCTCAAAAATCCCTAGAAATACTACTACTGTTCGTTGAAAGAATATATTATGTTGTTTTGTTCGTCGTTTTCATTCAATTTTTCAAATGAAAATTCAATATTTTTCTCTTACTTACATTATTTGACCAATGGATCAGCCGAAGGAATGCGTAGAAAAAATCGATATTTCCAAGTTTTTTTCTTTTGTCTATTATAAAATGTATAAACATTTTCTGAAGATAATCATCCTCTTGAGGCAAGCTGGCAACACCGCGCAAAATGCATCATCGGACCGCCGATTCAATTAACCTGGTTGGTGTCGCACGTCATGTGATTGCCATGCGCATTACGTCGCCTTATTGGCTAGTATTATCCTCAATTTTATGCTCCCCTTGCTAATAGTGGCAATATTGACTATAATAGTATTGGTATATCGATGTTATTGTATTGTATTTTATTCTTTTAACTTTACTTGTGCAGATTTTAATGAGTACACACTTTCTAACAAATATTATTTATATTAATAATATTTATTATATAATAACAAATATTGTTATTTATATATAGATATTATCGCTAAACAAAATAAATTCCATTTAACTGCATTTCCTTTACCGATGCCGCGTTGTTTTAGATCGTTTAGTCAAGTTTGGTTTGGTCTAACTATATGTTTTCCGTCTAACTCTCGTCGGACAGACGGTATATGCAAAATGTTAATTATGCAATATATTAATTTAATATTTCAATTCACAGGTGAACGCTCCTGTAAACAGTTCGCTGTTACAAGGGGAGGAACTGCTCATAGCACTGGACATCACCAAGAACATTTAGCTAGGCGCTAGCGCTATCGCTAACACCAGAGATAGCGAAGCCGACCAAGTTCGAGAGTTTGAAATACCGTTAATCATCCTGGATGGAGACAATATCGGTGTACAAAATTACGAGATTATTATTTTGAATTGCTAAATATATAATATAGAATAATATAATCATCTAGTGTACAGTTGCGAGATATTTAAAACTGCTGAAAATTTTTCGCATATCGTTCATAGTTTGCTATTTAAAACTCCCTCATCGCCTCAATAGTTATTGTAAGGATTATTGTTAAAAGCAATTTGAAACACAGTTGTTATTATATTTGTTTCAAGAATAAGTATAAGTAGAAATAATAAGTGTTTATATATTAGGTATCATTTCATACAAAAATGCGAAAAATTTTCAGACAAATTATATATATATATATATATATATATATATATATATATATCATAAAATTTTAAGAAGTATAGCAGCAGGTGTCTTATAGAGTGGGTAATATTTTCCTAAATGCATTTATGAGTTAATGATAGGAAATTATAGACTAAAGATAATTACATAAGATTTATTTTATATTGACGAACATGAGTAGAACTTACCAAGATTTCTGCAGTAAATAACTCATTCAAGATACGCTTAGATACAATTTTAGATTCTTTTTTACTTTTGTTTCAAATATTGTTCTCTGTAATTATGAAGTAATGTAGTGTTTTTCAATTAAAAAACATTTTTTTTTTATTTACTGCCGTTTTAGTTTAGTTTTTTTCTATTTAATTCTCATGTAATAAATCCGTTTTTATAGTCATCTGCAATCTTGTACTTTGAGTCAGCTATTTATTTTTGATTATATGTCCAATTATGAGAATCACTTCGTGGAGTCTCAACAAATACATACGTTCATTTCAAGCTCTCTTTTTGTATATTCCACTAATATATGATGTCAAAATTGTATTTATTTTTTTATTCGCAAACCAAAAATGTAACTTTCAAAAGTAAAACTATTACTGGAACATACAAATAATTTCTGCATTGTCTACGGGTATTATAATTCTATAGACAGTGGTTTTTATAAGCTCATTCACATTTTTAGGTACCATAAGTCACTTTAGCACTAACATTACTAAATGAATACACAGTTTTGTTTGTATATTTAATTGTTCTGTATAAATTTTTTGTTTTATTTTAATTATTGTTTTGTGAACAGAAATGAATTTTCCTATAAGAATGGGAAAACTCAATAAATTTTATATTTTCGTAATTTTTACGGCATTTTTGGAAGTTACAACTCTTTGAATGTACAGGGTGAGTTCATTATTTCCTTTGTTTTGAAAAGTTAATTTTGCTATTTAAAAAATTAGATTTTTTAATTTTTAACAGTCGAAATTACAGTTAAAAATAAAATAAAAAAGAGTGTTACATTAAAAAAAAAACATTAAATCGTGTGTCACTTTTCTATTAAAATTTTTGTCGTAAAAATTCTCAAAAAAAATGAGGTAATGAGGAACTTATCTTGACTCGCTCGATACTAAAGTTCGATAATAAAACATAGATACCAGTTTTACAATTATTTAATGTATTCCGAAAAAGAATTATTTTTAAAGTTTTTCATATGGACTTCTAAAAATGTTGTAATATATCGCAACAAACTGTTATTTTACCTTATAGCAACGGTTTGTTTTTTATCTAATTTTTATAGATTTATGTTTAGAATTACTGCCATACAATATGTAAATGTAATACAGAAAAATCTGTGTAATTTGTAGTTTTAAGATACATTGCAAATATAATATGATGTAGCATTTATCTATGTAATAGTACTAAAATCTAAGTTATATATGTATCTTACAAATAAAATGAATACTTTATATTGTGGCGCATATGAAACTATGCGATTACAACACATTTTATCATTGTTATATTTAGAAAATATAGAAAAATCGAATACTTTCTATGTTCGCGAAACCCGATCACTGGAACTCAATTTTATTTTGAAAGACCCCACAACATTCTTTATGTAATACACTCAAAGTAATACAAATTTTCCTGTTATTTGATAGTTTATATATAATTTTATATTATTGAGTAATAATAGGATTAATTGTATATTACTTAAGAAAAGGCATTTTAACATCAAAATTTTTATTTTATATACTTTTAGGTTCTAGTTTAATGTGTTATCATATTGTAAGTTTTTCGGGAACAGGACGAACTAATAAATAGTATTCAATGGGAAATCTAGTGTTATTTATTATATCCTGTTTCTCAAAATGTCAATAATAAAAGGGTTTTTCCTCTTGTAGAGACAATCCGGGGACAGACTGTATATATAAGATTTAAAATAGATTAACTATACAGAACAAAATTAGTATGAATTACTTAAAAAAATACACATAGCGCTATTACTAAGTTATATTTACTTAAAGAAAATACAGTACAAAAAGATTATATATACATAATAATACAAAATTTTTTAATATTATATTTATTACATAAAAAATCAACAATTTTAATAAGATATTTAAGCCATTATAACTGAATATAACATAGTTTAAAAAGGAATCAAACTAAAGTAATTCAACTTAGTAATATAAGATAAAAATTAAGAAAAAAACAATCCATAACTTCTAACTTTAATAAAATATATTTTTTTTAATCAATAGATCTGTATAAATCTGATATTTTAACCAGTGAAGTTAATATTTCCTTCTCCAAACAATATACTTTTTAAATGCATAACGAGAATCCAATTAGAATAAATTTAATAGTTTTTGTAAGTATCTAAAAATACCTAGCAGATGAGCAAATAATTCAGACAATGATATATTACAGTATTTTTAGTAAGCAAGAAAAGAATTAGTATATTAGTATGCAATTACCTAGAAAAATATCTTTATAATTTGCCTTTAATATTATTAAAGCATGTTTTGCATTAAAATTTGCATAAAAAAACTTTAAAACTTTTAGGTGTTTTAGCAAAGAAAAATATATAGGTAATTGAAAGTCACTTGTCTTAATTATAGTACTTTTCTTCGAGGTCTTCCTCTGATTTTACTTTTTTGATTGTAAACTGTTCTTGTGGATTCGGGAGAATTTTGTACGGTATTCTGATTCAATTCGTCTTTTCTGTTTGAGTCAATATTTTCCAAATTATCAATATCCTCATCTGCTTTTTTATCTGATCTGCTTCTCGATCTTGGAGTTTTTATTAATACCTCTGGAGACTCAACTGATCTTTCATTGCTTACAGGTACCTTTATTTCACTGGTCTCTTCAAATGACATCATGTCATCAGAATTATCTGTTACACTCCTATCATTTAAATTAGACGAATTTAATTCTGGTGCCCTACCTAACTTTAAAGCTTCTATTTCACTTTCTAAATTGTACAAAGTTTCTTCTGCTTTGGCTAAATCTGATATAGTATTATTAATATAATTTTGTACTGCATTTTGAATTTCTGTTACTGCAACCACACCCTTTGTATTTTCAATATCCATTTTTATGGTTGATAGAATTTTATCGAAAACTTCAGAGGCAGCCTCAGAATTTTTATAAGTGTTGTTAGATTCACTTAGATTTGGTATATGAACGGTAAGCCTGTCAAAATATCCATTAGAATATCTTAGAAAAGTTTGTTGGTAATTATAGCTCGATAATGTGTCTGTGTGTTCCATTGATAGAGAGCAAAATGAAAACAAGTCTGGTGGTATGTCAAACAGTTCCCTAAATTGTTTGTGCAGAATACGGTCTCTCAATGTAAACTTAAGGCTTGAAAAAGGTTCATATTTGTACCATGCCACTACCTTTGTGAAATTTGGACCAAGAAATCTACGTATCTTCTGTTGATCAACTCGACCTTTCACATAATAGTTTCCTTTTGGGCATGGCACAATTGAATTAATTTTAATTATTTTAGAAATATCTACCTGCTTTTGATCGTTATCAGTTATTGATGTTATCTCTCTGTGGATTATTTCACCGAGTAAAAAGCCATCCTAAAAAGTACCAGGTTAGTTAGCGAAATTACACAAATTAAAACTAATTACGTACTTGTCGCACAGAACTTTTACTTGTTTCATATAATAAAAATGAAAATGCTGGCCCAGACAGTGAGACTGAAGCAGGCTGAAACATTTCAGAAAATTTTTGTCAAAGGATATAATTTCTAATTATTTGCAATGTTATTTGCTTTCGATGAGAAAGGAAAAAATCTTCTTTGCCGAATTTTGAATTTTGTCATGCTGTCATTTATTTCCACAGATTGAGATTTTTGTAGTGATCCAAGAAATGGCCTGAGCTGCCAGGGCTGTCCAAAGGCTGAAGGACTCAACCTATATCATATATATTAGTTATTTATATATGATCCATATATAAGCTTAATGCCACTATCGACAAAAGAAGAGAATTTCTACGATGCTGTCAGATCGTGCTATTTATCAGAAAATTTTTAGAAAATTCTTTAGTAATATTACAAGTTCAGCCATTATTTTTATTACAGTTTAGTTTAGTTTTTCTCGTACAAGGATAATTTTTAAACGATACAGCAAAAACTAAATCATAGAATGAAAGGAGAGCAAGTTATATTATTTTCAAGATCACTAATATTTTCAATTTTTATATTTGGCAACGTTAACCATATTTGACAGTTTTGACAGACAGATAAGTCAATCGTCAATGTCGTCATTTGAAAGTTGTCTAAAATGACAAATCAAAATAAATACACTTTTAAATATTTTTGTTAAATTTAAATTGTTATTTGAAGCAAATTTTACGTAATTCAATGCGTTTTTGAATTAATACCGAAGTTATTTAGGTTGACGTTTTGGTAACTCAAAGTCGATTAAACAGATATGTCTCCAGAAATTAATGGAAACCCGCCAAGTGTTACAAAACGAAAGAAAAATCGCGAGAAAAAGGAAGCAACCGAGTCGATGAATAACTTTGACTTGAACATGCCAAGCTGTAATTATTTTCCTGTTAATACCCTTCCATATCAGAATTATGAGGTCCCTAATAACTACTATTCTTTTATCAATTGTAATTCCACTGAACCAATGTCATTGCCTTTGTACCCTATAAGTTATCAAGGTTACACTTGTCCAAGAAGTTATATAGGAAGTGTAAGTAATGTTTCAAGAAATTCTACATTGTCCAATCAGACCTACAACATAAATCCTGAAGTGGTAGATTATTTAAGTCTGCCAGTAGTGAATGTTGACCAGAACGATGAATCTAAACGCAGATTTTCTGATCCTGGATTACCAAATGAAAGTGATTCAAGCTCGAATTCCTTTGACGAGAGAACCGTTCGTAAATTAACTCAACAAGTGAATTCATTGAAAGAAAGCAACCAGAAACTTTCTAGAGAAGTTATGGAACTACGCATCGAATTGAACCTGCTTAAGAAACAGCATAATGTCAGGCATTTTGACAGGGATTACGAACCGGGAATGATAACGGACGTAATTAGGGAAGTTAGGGAAGCAGCTAGGGTTCGAGAAGATGCATTACTAGCTCGTGTAAAACACATAATAGAAGAAAAGCATTTAGGTGTGGTAAGTAAACATGTTATTTTTTACATATATTTGTCTAACATTGAAGTATTTATCTTGGTTATATATCCTTATAGCAAAATAATGCAGAAGGAAGTTATATTTTGCAATTTAAATTTGTTTTTTTTCTCAAGGCCCACAATTATATGCCGTTTTAAAATTTATTATCCTTCTTTTTGAAGTAATTAACCATTGGTTTAAAATACAGAGACACAATTATTGTTAATAACATTAATTATTTAATATCTGCTCATGACCTCTTATTACTTATAGAAGGCTTATACTTAATTCCCTTAGAGGCATTAAAATATTTTGAGGAAAACAGTAGTAGGTATTTGATATTTTAAACAAACAGACAAACAGATAACAGATAACATTGGGCAATAAGGTAAATTGAACAAGATAAATTGTCCTTATAATGCAGAACCATGATACTTAAAATAATATTAGCTCTCCATCCAATCTACCATGACCATGACTGGATATATTATTAGGGTAATATTTTAGTAGGTATTCAAAAATTTCAATTTGGGAAATGTGGATAATTGATTGATTTTGTTTTAAGGGAAAAATTAATCAAGAAATTCGAAATTTTTTAAATCCACGCCGTGCCACGGAGTTTTTTTTTGTAATAGATAAGAAATTTTTATACCTACATAAAACCAAAATTTTAAATTTTAAACATTTAATGTAAATTAAATGTTTTTTAATTTTTAATTGAGAATAATTTAATCAGAGGTGGCTTTGAAAAAAGATCATTGTCATTTTATGTTAATAAGTTACAAGGGGAATGTCATCGATCGTCATTTCGCCGTCAAGTCAAGTCAAGTCAAATATACGCCGTTTTTGTCAGTTATCAAGAATTTACAGATTTAAGACTGTTAGATTTTAGTTTTCAAAAAGCTGAATACATTGAAAAAAAATAAAAAATTTTAAGATTAGGTATTAAAATTTTATATGATCATAATTCAAATGAATTCAATATGATTCATATTTAAAGAAATAATAATCTTAAATGATCATAATTCGTTTAAAATAGGACTATTTTCGTGAAAACTTATTCTTTAAAAAATTAAAAACAACAGTATCAAAAAGTTACTTTATTCAAAGATATGTGCCAATAACCCCTTGATAATTTAGTAAATCATAATCCAATATATCTAATATACAGTATGTCCCCCGGATTATTTTTAAGAGGAAATCTTTTTTATTATAGACATTTTGGGAAAAATGCATTCTTCGTAAAAAATGTTGCTTGTTCTAAAAATGATTAACCTCGTTTATACTTTTTCCAATTTCCATACTGTTTTAGGGAAAAAAAAAAAAAAAAAAACATGAAAATATGGGTGAACTTTTTCAAGACCTAAATATCTCTCAAATTTTCTCCAGATTTAAAAATCTCCCAAATTTTCTCAAGACCTAAAAATGAGAACGCGTTTCTATGGTAATATCATTTCGATTTCATTTTTTGATAGATGGTTATGTTATTATTAATTTTGATTTGCGTCATATTTTTGCTGTTGTTAAAGTTTTTAGTTGTTACATTTTCCAATAACTATTATCACCCTTTCCGTACCATTGAACTGAATTAAATAAATTTTGTGCTTGTTCAACATTTCAAAACAGCAAAAAATATGACATTTATTAAAATTCTATGAATAACAATCTATTAAAGAATGAAAGCGAAATTATATTAGGTACCATAGTAACGCGTTTTGATTTTTAGGATTTAGAAAAAAATCAACTATATTTTCATGTTTTTTTTTTAATTTTCTCTAAAAGCGGCTTGGAAATTTCGCAATGTGTAAACAGGATTAAGCATTTTAAAACAAGCAAATTTTTTTATGAAGAATGCATTTTTCCAAAATGTTAATAATAAAAAAGTTTTTCCTGTAGACAATTTATTTCATATCGGTAGAAAAAGATCCAACAATAATAGAATATGCAGGGTGTTCCGTTTAAAAAAGTGCAGTTATAATTTTTTTTCAACTTCCCATCGTCTTTTGTTTATTTTTGTTTCACTTTCTGGTGGTTCAGCAAGTTCTGCATTTAAAGTGTTTTACTATATATTCAATAGGTAAACCTGCTGATATCGAACTAGATATCTATGAAAACCCTTTATAAATAATTTTGAAGAAAGTGTTACAAAATTTTATTTAAATTAGCAAATTGCACCTAAAATCTAGTTTTAGGGTTATTGCTACGATTTTTTTACCACTGAAGTGGTTTACTGGCGTCAGTCTCCCATTTTTATAGGAATTATCCGGTTGTGACACTTTCGCTTTCTTTGAACCCTAATTCGCACTTTTATTAAGCGACTCATTGTTAGAGCGATGAAACGGGAGACCACCCAAAGAGATTGGGGTACGTTGGAGATAAGACTAATTTATATAGAATGGGGTTGCAAAACTTCCATATTATGTTTATATTAAGCTTTTACCGTTTTTGAATAATTATTTTCGTCAATGCACCACCCACTACCGCAAAATATATAGTGCTTTTACTTTGGAGACTATGAATATAATAAGCTCTATCTATCTTTTGTGTGATAGCACATGCACTGATTAAACCAAAATAATTCAAAAATTGTTCATGCAAACAGACAAAAAAGAATAGTGTATTCCTTTAAAATAACAAAACTTATGACAAATTCTGACACTTTTAATATTTTAGGTTTTTTACCTGTATTCTTAGACAAAGCTGTTTTTCTTTTCCTTGAAGGATAATATACTTACGGAATATGATTGAGTTTCTTCCATATAATCCATGCTAACTTAATTTTTCTGGTGTTCTGAGCGATATATTAGTTCTCCCAAATATATAACAATCTGGTCATCGACACTACGTTGTCTGGATTTTAACGTGTAAGACAATGATGTAAACAGCTTAAATTAGGTTTAAATCAAATGTATTAAAAAGAGATAAAAGTTAGGTTGATAATTTCTTTTATACGGTAATGCCAGAATTTGCATTAGAATTTCCAACCGCACAAGTAGGTGTTTACGAAAAATTTTGCATCTAGGGTTGGAACTGTATTTTTCAAAATTAGTTGACGTTCACAATTTATTGAAGGAGGAGAATTATATAGTTGAAGGAGGAGACATGATTGAAACAAGTGAGTGGCGAAATAAGAGAGAAACAATAGTAATAAAAGATGTAGTAAAATATCATAATTTATTACTTTTTAATTTCTCGTTTATTCCTTCAAGTATGTATAGCAAAATGAAGCCAGGATATTGCAAAAAAATTTCTCCCATCTTTATGGTGAAATTTTTCGTTTCAGGTGCACTCGCGGATGTGGGTTGTGGGTGAATCCTAGATTTGTTTGTCTTTATTTTGTTATAATTACGTTAACTGATGTTAATATTGTTAATGGGTATGGGTATGGAAGAATCGGTATGTACAGGGTGTTTTAAAAAACATGTGCCATCTCTTGTAGGGAGATTCCTCACGTAAAAATAGGATTTATTTTTCATATCAACATAGCATAGGTCTGATTCTGCTTTGTTTCGTAGCTACAGGGAGTTTAGCGATTACATAGCCTTTATTAGATAGCCTTTTGGATTTCGATTCGAATGAAATTTTGGGGGCAAAAGCTATTATAAGCGAGACATATATTTTAATGCTAAAAAAGTGTCAACATATTCACCATGGACGTGCATATGGGTTATAACTGGAATATTAATAAAAATTATGTATGCCACTGATTTTTTTTTCTTGTTAGCGAAATAATGTTAGCCGTTTAATGCCGACTAAAAGTTGTCTCTTGATATTTTGTCGATATCAGCCTCCTTGATAAGATAAACGTTTATTAACGTATATATTATATAAAACTATATATAAAAAAACTATTTATATAATTATATAAACGCTAAGACATTTAAATTGTGCATCTGATTCACGTAAAATATACAGGGTGTTCCATTTAAATTAAAAAAGTTATTGCCCTTTAAAGCTAGTAATTATTTAATATAAATTTTTGGACACTGTATAAAGTAGTATTTATTATTACAACACAATATCTGATCAATAAATAATATTCAGTAAATATTTAGTACTAAAAACTTTGATACCCTTGGAGAAAAAAAACCTTAAAAATTTTTGCTGCAATTTCATAAAATTGAAAATATTTCAAAAACAGTAAGGTTTAAGTGTGATAAAGCTTAATCAAATTTACCTTTATTTCAATCGTAGAATATCAAAATAGAATAATATACAGAGTGTTCCATATAAAAAATACAACTATAATATTTTTTACTTACTTGGGACACTCTGTATCTTGTAAAAATATTTTTAAATTGTAGCTCTAATAGTCCTTCAATGAACCCAAAATTTACAATACGATATTGCGATATTAAGCTGATAAGAATAGATATTATATTTTGATCTGTGATAAAGGTTGAGTAGAGGATCACAATGCTAAAAGCGTCCGCCGTAACTGAGTTTTGATTGCTTTGGTTTCAATATTTTTTTGGGGGTTTCATTTTTGGTGTTATTTATGGACGATCCGCACTTTTTTCGTTAGACAATATCATAAGTGTCCCTCTTCTCAAATTTTGTATAGAAAATTTTAAGAATTCGACGAACCTAAAAGGTACCAGACCCGGAATTTCAGTATTTTAAATCTCATACCATGTTAGAAGAAATCATATTTATAACCTCAATAACCTCAACCCAAACACATTTTAAAATACACCGAATCTACTATCTCCAAACCGACCGAAAACCGAATTCTCTCCGTAATCCTGCTCCGCCATAATAATTTCGTCGTCTCATCCGACCAATAATATTGGGATTTTGGAGCGTCGCCGTTCGGTAAAATTAGACCTCTCCCGTTAAGTAAAAAGCCATTAAGGACCGCGCGGTCGGCCCCCGTATCGGGTTGCGGTGTAACCGGAGCCCCGTAGCGCGCGGCGGGGGGCGCCGAAGAGATTGGCCAAGCGGGGGCGCCCCGCTGCGGCTGGTGTGGCCCCGGATCATCCACACCCTTCCGCAGAGAAGTCTTTCGAGGAATTAGAGGGTAAATTAGACGTGGAATATGCGCTGCTGTTTTTAATAATAGGCGTTTAAAGAATGTCATGTATTTCGAATTTCGAGTTGATAACTGTCCCACTGCCATGGACGTATTATCGATATATCATTTTATTGATTTTATGGAAAGCACTGTTCATTAAAATGTTGTATCCTATGTTATAGGGCTTGTTTCTCTCTACAATTTCCTGTCTGACAATGTACCGTTTGTGTCGGGGAAGGGCCCATAGTTTAATAGTTGTCGATTTTCCAAAGAAATCAGTACATGTATATTATTTCGTATATTTTTCATTTTATTGATTTTATGGAAAGCACTGTTTATTAAAATGTATCCTATGTTATAGGGCTTGCTTATCTCTACAATTTCCTGTCTGACAATGTACCGTTTGTGTCGGGGAAGGGATCATAGTTTAATAGTTGTCGATTTTCCAAAGAAATCAGTACAGGTATATTATTTCGTATATTTTTCATTTTATTGATTTTATGGAAAGCACTGTTCATTAAAATGTTGTATCCTATGTTATAGGGCTTGTTTCTCTCTACAATTTCCTGTCTGACAATGTACCGTTTGTGTCGGGGAAGGGCTCATAGTTTAATAGTTGTCGATTTTCCAAAGAAATCAGTACATGTATATTATTTCGTATATTTTTCATTTTATTGATTTTATGGAAAGCACTGTTCATTAAAATGTTGTATCCTATGTTATTGGGCTTGCTTATCTCTACAATTTCCAGTCTGACAATATACCGTTTGTGTCGGGGAAGGGATCATAGTTTAATAGTTGTCGATTTTCCAAAGAAATCAGTACATGTATATTATTTCGTATATTTTTCATTTTATTGATTTTATGGAAAGCACTGTTCATTAAAATGTTGTATCCTATGTTATAGGGCTTGTTTCTCTCTACAATTTCCTGTCTGACAATGTACCGTTTGTGTCGGGGAAGGGCTCATAGTTTAATAGTTGTCGATTTTCCAAAGAAATCAGTACATGTATATTATTTCGTATATTTTTCATTTTATTGATTTTATGGAAAGCACTGTTCATTAAAATGTTGTATCCTATGTTATAGGGCTTGCTTATCTCTACAATTTCCTGTCTGACAATGTACCGTTTGTGTCGGGGAAGGGATCATAGTTTAATAGTTGTCGATTTTCCAAAGAAATCAGTACATGTGTATTATTTCGTATATTTTTCATTTTATTGGTTTTATGGAAAGCACTGTTCATTAAAATGTTGTATCCTATGTTATAGGGCTTGTTTCTCTCTACAATTTCCTGTCTGACAATGTACCGTTTGTGTCGGGCTCATAGTTTAATAGTTGTTGATTTTCCAAAGAAATCAGTACATGTATATTATTTCGTATATTTTTCATTTTATTGATTTTATGGAAAGCACTGTTCATTAAAATGTTGTATCCTATGTTACAGGGCTTGCTTATCTCTACAATTTCCTGTCTGACAATGTACCGTTTGTGTCGGGTAAGGGCTCATAGTTTAATAGTTGTCGATTTTCCAAAGAAATCAGTACATGTATATTATTTCGTATATTTTTCATTTTATTGATTTTATGGAAAGCACTGTTCATTAAAACGTTGTATCCTATGTTATAGGGCTTGTTTCTACAATTTCCTGTCTCACAATGTACCGTTTGTGTCGGGGAAGTGATCATAGTTTCATAGTTGTCGATTTTCGAAAGAAATTAGTACATGTATATTATTTCGTATATTTGTCATTTTATTGGTTATAAGATATACCATACGATAAAAAAACGGCGTCAAAGATGGCTGGGGAATGGCAATCTATGATATTATTTTGCCGGGGTCAAGCCTTTAAGATGCCATTTACTTGGCTCGTACTCTTCTGTATTTTTTAATGGCGCTTACTGCCAGCTGGCCTTCAGAAGGTTGTAATTTATTTTTATTTGAGTAAAATTGATTTTGAAATGTTTAGTTTAAAATTCGAGAAAATATTTTTTTTTTTGGGAAATAGATTTGTGTAACTGGAAACGTTCTGTTCTTTTTGATCTTTCTATAATAATTAGTGTTAATTTTTGACACGTTTTGAAGTTTTTATATTTATTTTCAGTAAATGACGTCTAGAGCTTGACCTCGCCAAAATTATCATTCTTTCTTAAAAGATGAGGAATTGTACCCTGAATTCTAGACTATTTAGGAAACACCCTGTATAATTCTATTTATTATTGGGATGTCTGCGAAACTTTGTTAGTCATTAGTGGTAATTATATTAGTGTTTCTTAGATATTTTTTAGTTTCTAATTGTTCTAGTAAGTCTAATTTTATACATATTTTTTTTCTCAGAATGTAGTAAAATCAGTATTATCTAAATCTATGAAATGGTCGTTTTCAATAAAATGTGTGGACATTCAAGGACTTTTTGTACTACTTAAGATATTTTTATGCTCCTTAATTCTACATCTAATACTTCCATTGTACAGGATTTTTAGAGATATTTAGTGCCATATCTTCAGGTGCCATATCTTCATACTTGAGGTAATTGGTAAACTTTAAATGTAAGATCCCTAAGGTTTTACCTGATCCGCCAGAAAGTTAAATAAAAGAAAACAAAAGACGATCAAAAAATGTATAACTTCACTTTCTTTTAATGGAACATCCTGCATATTAAAGTTTTTTTGAAAGATCTTTATCTTCCGATTTCAAAGTTATATCTTTGTCTATACCGGGTGCGTCTCAAAAGTGGCTCACCCCTATAACTTTTTCATTTAATTCATTTAATTCTTAATCATTAATAAAACGAGATTTGGTATGTTAGTATATGACATAAATTAGGATTGATTGACGTATTCAATTGTTTTCGGTCACTTCCTTTTTCATCGGAAATGACTACAATTTTTGATTTTTAAATGGCACCCTCAGTATTTTTTTACTTTATTCGAAAGAAAATAGCACTCTGAATAGAATGACATATCATATGTCAACTTTTGACATTTTCGCATATGGTTTATTTGAAATTATAACTTGCGGTTCGTAACGAAAATTTGACTCGAAATACCAAGTGTGTGGTATCAAATTATTTGTAAAAAAATGCTTTTTCCAAATATGCTAATGAGCCACCCTCGTTCCATTTGAAAAAATTGAGATATGATTAAAAATACGATTTAAGAATTTTCTAACTGGCTAGGATAAGACACTAAAAATATTAGACGATCAAATCTATTTTCCAGGGCTCCTTGATTAAGAATTAGTGTTTTTAACATAGCCATGGCACTCTAGATTGAATTTTAAAATACGATTTTTTATTAAGCGAAAATGTCAAAAGTTGACATATGATATGCCATTCTATTCAGAATGTTATTTTCTATCGAATAAAGTAAAAAAATACCGCGGGTGCCATTTAAAAATCAAAAGTTGTAGTCATTTCCGCTGAAACAGGAAGTGACTAAGGACAATTGAATACGTCAATCAATCCTAGTTTATGTCATATACTAATATACCAAATCTCGTTTTTTTTTATCTGAAGAAATAAAAAAGTTATAGGGGTGAGCCACTTTTGAGACGCACCCGGTATATAATGTTATCCAAAAACCAAATCAAGGGTTATATATAGTTTTTCTACATTTGCATGCAACGTTTTAAAAGAAAATGCATAATGTGCCTTGAAGACCATAATATAAATGTAATACATTGTATCTATCTTATTGAAGGTTGAAATTAAAAACATACCAAAACTGTGTAATAAGTATATAATATGAATCATTATTTTTTTTAATATTTTGTTTCAGAATCATATGAATTTGGTAACTGAGAAGAATAGGAATAATGACAGAATCTCCAAACTTGAGGAGCAGTTGAAGAGTCTTACAGTGAGTAATAACTCAAGGTAAGTTTTTTAATACTTACTAGTTACGTTAAATTTATCTACTAGCATGACATTAACTTTGACATTAAAAAAGATATTCAAATTACAATTCTCTCAACATACAAAGAACATGTAAGAGGTCAAAAAACGTTTTCATTTCATTCTACTTAAATTGTTATTAAACAACTCTTTAAGTATACTCCAATCATTATATCTAGAAAATATGTGATATTTTACAAGGTGGAGCACTGGTTTACGAATCATTGATTTCATACAATTGATATGTCATAAGACTAAATTTAGATATATACAGGTATTACAGATAATTACAGCTTATTATAAAATTGACGTCTGATTTATTTAGTAAATATTTTTGTGTATATTTGTTTTTTTATTTTCGTTATAGCAAGGTTGAAAAAGGCGTTTTTTAAACTATTTAAACAAAAAACATGGCCGACATGGGTAGTTTTCTCGCCCAGTCATTGGCAGTCGCTTGGCAGTAAAATGATATTTTGGCAGTACATGTACATTTTTTACCCAAGTGAGACACCTCTCGGTTAAAACAGAGTTTTAAATATGTTTCAAGCAATTTTAAACGAATATTTGCAAATTTATTAAGCACGTTTAAAACATTTGTTTAGTTAGGTTAGGTTAGGTTAGGTTGCAGGCTATACTACCAGACTTAGTAAATTATTATATTATTAATTATTATTATTTTTTCTTTGTTGATATCATAAATGATGATTTTCATTAAATTTATAAATGACTATGATGTGGATAGGGTAGATGGAATAGAGTAGTGATCCCAAGAAACAGTTTTTGTTTTATAAGTGTGTTAGGAAACTTTCCAACACACCATATTATACAACCTAAACGCATCTAGAATGGTTGTCGTGAGTTATTGGTAACCATTATATAACACTTATATGCCCTAAACGGTGCCTTTTATAAGTGTTCCTGTGGTAATCCTCAACACTCAAGGTGTGCAACCAAAGTCCTGAAAACTTTCTCAACACCTTTAGGTATATATCCTATCGAGTTACCGCTATAAAACTGAAAAAGGGTATATAATAGTTATATAGTGGTGTTGAGAAGGTTCCCAGAGATTACCTCCATAGAAATATCGAGCATGCGCGTTTTTGAAAATAAACTTGTTTCTTTCTGACTAACTACTTTAATATTTGCCTCTTTTTTTAACATAAAAAGAAGATATGATCTTATTGCTCCAAGTTGTCCTACGCAGATAATCCAGACCAGACACAAAATGATGCCATCCCTGTCATAGCCTACAAAAGCGTTTGCGTTATGCAAATGACTTTATAGAAATTACTGGCTTAATAAAATCTATTATGCCTAGCCAGAGTACTAAATACATATGCGATATTAAATTTACTGTGTGAAAATCACTTTTACCTCCAAAAAACACATGCGCCCCCAAAAGCAGAATTATTTATTAGATTTTTTTATAAACAAAAAAAATATGGTAAATTTTTTGTAATGAAAGTCAAATTTATTAATATAAATAATAGAACATACGACTTTTTTAATACATAGAAATAACTGGCAACTGGCCAAAATATAGTTTTGTACCAGTTTTCAACGTTATCTTAGAAATACTCATTGTAGCCAAAAATTATGACATCAATAATAATGGCGTCCATTATATTTAAAGTGCTATATATTACTTTAGGGTCTATAACATACTCATCAACCATTATTTAAATTATTTACACCAAAAAAACACCAATTTTAGTGTTTTATACAACTATAGGTGATACAAATCACCATTATAAATGCCGGGGTGTTTATGGCTACTTTTAGTCACCCAGAAAACCTTTATGTAACCCGTGGTGTCGACTGTAGCGGCTCCCTGTGAACGAAGTTTGACATTACAACAATTTGACAGAAAATGTGCAGAAAACAAAACATAACTTCATAAAATTGAAATAATACTGTTTTGGTTCAATTTGATCTATATTTAAAGTGGTAGGACTTTGCAAAAGAGTCCTAGGGTCCTTTGGTACTTTGGTAGAACAGTTATGAATGAATTGACTATAGAAAAAAGCTCTTTAAGTGCAGAATGTGTAGTGTTAAAGCGCAAAGCTCTTTCTCTTATGTTAGAGAATGCCTTAACCAGGCATCTTCCTGTTCCTGATGGTTTTGGCAACTTTCTGTTGGAAATATCTCAGGTTAAGCCTGATCTCTGCTTGTGGATGATAAATTTGCATGTTGGCTTTCAATATTGGTAGGTGTAGTTTGAATGAGGTTTGGATTATTCCTATTTTTTTAAAATTCTGAAGAACCTTTCTTTTGAACGTAGATATATTTTTGTGTTTTGTCCATTTTTTTTTATTATTCATTATAATACTGAATTGCTTTGATTTCTAATATATTATTTGTTTTGATTATATTAAACATTTGAGGTTATGTCATTAGGTTTGATATTCGGTAACTACAGGTTATCTAAAGCATGCAAACATTTGAAAGGTGCAAAAAGACGATTTGGGGGAACAATTATATAACTTGTAGTATTATTGCTTACATAATGGTTCTTAATAACACCTTAAATTATATAGTGTATATCTTGCGTACCTTTATAACACCTAATACCAGAAGTTATATAAAATAGATGTGAACACCTTTATAAAACCTTATTTTTAAACCTTTAGTAACAAGAACCTCTAGTTTTATAAAGAAAGTGATAAACAACATTTCAAGGTTACTATTAGTGATAAGTAACCAACGCTACACTTATATAAATCAAAACACTGTAAGACACCAATGAGACATTTATTAAACCTTTATATAACTAACCTTGAGAATATATAACCTAAAGGAACTTAAAATGTTACTTGGGATGGTCTTGGTCTTGCAGGATCCAGTCTTGGTTTTACACTTTTTTTAATAGATTTTTACCAATAGAGGTACTTTCTACTTAGAAAATCTTTAAATAAATAATAGCTATTATAATAGTTTGAGTAATTTAAATCAAATTAAACTTTGTGAAAAAAGAAACAATATTTGTCTGGTAATTTTTTTATTTTTCAATCTTGAATCTGCATTGCTTTATTTATTTTTTTTGCAAAATTCGTGAAAACTATTTGCAATGAATTAAAACAATACTGTTAAACCAGTAAGTAAATTTTATATCATATTCATTTATTTGAATGCTGCCATATAAATATACCTATGTACCCATTAGATGTTGTGCGCATCTCACTTCTACGCTGTTTAGATGTTATCAAATAATGTTTTATCAAAGTTGACTTTGACGGCTTTGTAGCATCCAAGTAAGTTGAAAACCAGCCTAGTTACTTTGATGTTAGAACGCCTTCCAACTCGACTTTGATGAAAAAGTCAATACTAATAATAATACTACACAAGCAAGTAAGACATTATTATATGCACAGTTATATCGCAGCATCCAAGTGTGCTTGGTCCAAGTAACTTGGATCGAGTCATCCCGCCTTTTTAGGACCACTATCGTAGGAAATTTTAATAAAAAGTAGCTTTTAACCTGTAGAATAATCTTAATAATTATTTTAAAATTGCATATTTTCCTTTTTTGTTATACCTGCAATTTCCCTAAAACTGTAGTATACTGGTAGAATCAGGGTATCTAATATATTTAAAATCAGTTTTAGTTTTGGCGGCACCAAAATCATTGTAGACCTATGTTATAGATTAAAAGAGTAGCAAACCAGCGACTGAAAAACTTTGTTCTTTTGGCTACGTCCGCGAAATAATTCGCCAGGACCGAAGGTCTCCTCCGTATACGCCGCGCTCGTATCATGCGACACGTCCTCAACGTTGTGTTTGCACAAAGGGCGGCGCGGCGGTCGCCCGTCCGCCCCACGAAAGTATATGGGCCGCGATAAGACATGTTCCTGCGCTATCGCGGAGGACCGGCGGTCGCAGGACGTGGCCGGAGACGATAATAAAAGGATCCACGTACCGTCCGTCTCCCCTCTTCCCACCCGGAACGCTGGATTTTTAACTCGGAGAGATTTAGTTTTGTTGGCGCGAGATGCGCGGCGTAAAATGTTGGATTTACTGCTTCATTTAGAGGATATTTAGTTGCAGATTTAATTTAAAAAACTATTTTAGCAACCCGAGTAAAAAATAGTTGATAGGTTGATTTGGATATCCCCTTTTATCCTGGTTTATAGCATTATGTATGTTGTTATCGTCCCACTATCTTGGTAGATGCTTAACTAGCCTTAGAGGAGTATTACTTATATGCAAATAATTTAGCCCAATAACTCGACTAACGACTTACCCTGACTCTGTCGAGCCAGTTAAGGTAATAATTATACTTTTTCAATTGTTTCAGGTCTGACGATTCGATCATCTTAAACACATCGTTATCGGAGGACAAAAACAAATCTGCTCGACAAGTTTTAGATCTGGAACGGGAAGCGTTACAATTAAGAAGAGAATTGCAGGACACTAGGGCCAAGAAAGAAGAAGCCGACCACAAGCTTTTACAGTACGTACGTATTTAGTTGAAAAATATATTATGACTTTTTTTATTAACTACTTCTTAGTTATTTTTACAATGCTAAATTCAGACTTTCAAAAAATAATTCTTGTTTCATTTCTATAGAATGCATTGTCTTCAACAAAAAGTTTTAAGAATGCTCTAAACGTGATCTCTCTTTAACAAACACGTTTTGATTTGAGTGTTTGACATACTTGATTTACTATAGCATTTTCATTTAATAAAAATTATTCTGAAGATATTATTAATTAATTTAATTAGATTAACTATATTATTCGCGCTTAAGCTTCATTTAGAACCTCGCAATTAGTGGAATCATTCACAATGTCTAAAAAACACAATTAGAACTGATAGAATATCCTAGCAACAGCTTGCAGTAGTCAGTTGTATCCATAAAGAAAGCCAAATATTTATCTTATAAAACAATAAACTTTTGATTTCTAACTATAATTTCTCTTGACGGATGATAATCAAAATCAAAATGACATTCCCCGCAAATTTTGAAGTATAATTAGTGGAAAAGTTAAAAGTTTGTTAATTTTTTCTACTAATTGTTGTAATTGTTCTGAATGCTTACATTAAAATTCAAGGAACAAACTTCTACGCTAATTGAAACCGCTAATTTATTCCACTAATTGCGAGGTTCTGAATGAAGCTTTAGTAGCATTAATTGTAATGACATGACATACGCGACTACAAAATCTGTGGTGGTGTAACGCTAAAAATTAAATGTATAAGTTTGTATTTATTTTATATCCAATTGGTTTAAAAAGCACACACTTTTCAGAGAACATGTTGAAAGTATAATCTATTCCTCATCTTTCATCAGATTTATTCCATGGAGTGGCTTGATTGCTGTTCCCCGCGATACTTCCCCGTGACGTTCGATGTATTAAGCTATAAGTATTAGTGAAAACTAAGTACTAGTGATGCGATAACTCGAGCGAAAATTCGCTCGAGTAGTCGATTATTGAAATAACCGACATCGCTCGATTATGAACGAGCGATACAAGTGACGAGTACCAAGCGATCCTAGAACGAAATAAATTGAAATCCGATTTTAATGTGACATACTCGATAAAAAGCCGAACGAATTTTCTACATACATTGCAGGTAGCAAACTTATACGACGCCGTATATACCGGATGCGTCTCAAAAGTGGCCCACCCCTATACCTTTTTTATTTTTTTTTAGATAAAAAAATGAGATTTGGTATGTTAGTATATGACATAAATTATGATTGATTGACGTATTCAATTGTTTTCTGTCACTTTCTGTTTCACCGGAAATGACTACAATTTTTGATTTTTAAATGGCACCCTCGGTATTTTTTTTTTACTTTATTCGATAGAAAATGACATTCTAAATAGAATGACGAGGGGTAAACCGCAGAGGGAAAAGTGTACACCGTAATTCCTTTTACTCAAATAATTCCTCAGAATTCCTCGTAATTCCTTCGGAATTCCTTGGAATTCCTGGTCTTCAAGGTCAAGGTCAATCATTCAAGGTCTTCCTTGGAATTCCTTGGTACGAACTCGGTAACTCTTTCAGTCTGAACCAGCGTTGCCACCTCGGTTTCGCAGTTCCGCTATGAATTTTCTGGTGATTTTTATAAATGTCTAATGTCTCTATAAGTACTAGATCTAACAATAAAAAGTACTATTACGAGATTTACGTTTTTTTAGTTAAATTTTAGGACTAATAGGGGATCATGAGGTAAAAATACTGGAAATATGTCGGCACTTATTAAAATTAATTTTTCTCGGGATTTTTTAAAATGATAGGTACCTAGTTATACTCGTATCTATAGGAAAGGAAATTAATAAAACTTCAGTTGCACGTCATAATACGATCACCAGTAAATTCCATAAGATTACGCATGGTATCATTGATGAAGTGCACCTAAAGTTGTATTAATTTCCCTATAGTATATACCTAGGTATTATTCCGAGGAAATGAAAAAATCAACTTTACACTTTCTGAGTACTGAATAAAAAAATCTTATGAGGGTTTCTTTAAAATGGCGAAAACGTTATAAGTAGATCTCTCGGGGGTGGTTCGGCCGTACTATTGGAAAATATTTTAGATATATAATCGAGGGTACAATATTAAATTAAAAGAATATCTAACCTGTAGATATTTGATATTGGGAAATTTTGGAAGCGAAACGAAAACGGGTAGTAAAAAAAAGTTTAAAGTTAGTTTTAGTTTAAATTTAGTACTACCTATTATAGTATTCATGGTTTACTAATGTTCGTTAATTTTTTATAAAGTTGCTTGTAATTCCTCTTAATTCCTGTGGAATTCCTCTAAATTTCTAAGGAATTCCTTGGAATTCATTGGAATTCTTACGGAAATAATTGAAATTCCTAGTAACTCTTATGGAATTCCTCGTAATTCCTTGGAATTCCTTCATAGTGTACACCATAATTCCTCTGCGGTTTACCCCTCGTAGAATGACGTATCATATGTCAACTTTTGACATATTCGCTCAAAAACAAATTGTATTTTAAATTTCAATCTAGAGTGCCATGGCTGTGTTAAAAACACTAATTTTTAATCAAGGAGCCTTGGAAAAATAGATTTGATCGTCTAATGTTTTTAGTGTCTTGCCCTGGCCGGTTTAAAAGATGCCCAAATCGTATTTTTGATAATATCTCAATTTTTTTCAAATGGAACGAGGGTGGATCATTAGCATATTTCGAAAAAGAATTTTTTTACGAATAATTTGATACCACACACTTGGTACTTCGAGTCAAATTGTCGTTTTTAGAATTAGAATGAGTGGGAGGGGGGTTAATCACTTCGACCTTACAGATCCATTGTGTCCCCCTTTCTTGAATCATAACTCATCATACAGTCCCAGGGCTTTGACAAAAGCCAGTATCTGGGACGGTTTTATAGAGGGTAGTTCTCCATCTCCAATATCAGTCGTACCAAAATTCATGGCACGAATGGTTGTCGTCTCGGCGCACTCAGTGATGAGGTGTACTGGTGTTTCACCATCTTCCCCACAGAATCTGCATTCGCCGTTTCTTCTTAGTTTCAATCTACTGAGGTGTTCATTGAGGAGACAGTGTCCTGTTAAAAACCCCGTGACAATCCGAAGATTGTTCTTACTCAGACCCAGGAAGATCTGTGATTTTTCTTGATCATAAGCCCTCAGAAACTTCTTCGAGTGTCCTAGACCATTGCAAGATTTCCATTCCAGGTTGCGGATGGAATCTTTCAAGTTCTTGAGTTCCGCCTTGAGTTGAGTCTAAAATTCTAATTCTAAATTGTCGTTATGAACCACATGTTACAATTTCAAATAAACCATATGCGAAAATGTCAAAAGTTGACATGTGATATGTCATTCTATTCAGAGTGTCATTTTCTACCGACTAAAGTACAAAAATACCGAGGGTGTCATTTAAAAATCAAAAGTTGTAATCATTTCCGGTGAAACCGGAAGGGATCGAAAACATTTGAATATGTCAATCAATCCTAATTTATGTCATATACCAACATACCAAATCTCGTTGTTTTATCTGAAAAAAATAAAAAAGTTATAGGGGTGAACCACTTTTGAGACTCACCCGGTATATTTATCCGTTGCGTGTCTGAGGGACAAAATTTTACGACCTACATCGACAATGCTTCGAAATACACTAAATCAAGCGATCAAGCGAATTGTTGGCCGCTTACTAATTGCCGTTCATTACCGAAAGAATATGTGCCCTGCGCACGCAACTTACTGCTTGGCGCTTGGCGTTAACGAGTACTTACAACATGCAACGGGTGAAAACGTATTTTTAAATACGAGTGATATTTCGCTCGAGTGATCACTCGGTTATTGCAATCGCTTGATACTCGAGTACTCGATTATTGAAATTAATCGGTTTTTCCCATCACTAATAAGTACTACAAGGAGACCCATTGCAATAATTTTTGTGTAAACGCTAGCCTACAAACCAAAATCTCAATGCGGGCATGTTTAATTTTGTTTCTGCAACTTTGAAACGCAATTGTTCGGAAACCTCTGGACAAAGAGCAACATAGTAGGATACCACTGAAAATAGAATTAAACGTAATTTAAAAACGATGTGCCACTTGACCCCCATACCCATTTAAGATTGCAAAGGTGACATCTAGCCCTCCTAGGGGGTTGAAAGAAAAAGGCCCCCAAAAGGGTCCCCCTTACAAATGAAATTGACGTGTCTTTCCGATTTTTCATATTTTTAACTGCAAGAAAGATATAAAAGGTGGGAGGTTTTAAGATTGATACAGTGTTTATATTTTTTCAGATTGTCTAGTATGTTACGTCGTAGCGATGTTACACCATCCGATCCGTCCGAAGATGGAAAAACATCCGTAGACAGTCTTTCCACCATAACAAGCACGTCATCGGTAGCTCCACCCCTCAGAGTGACTTTATCAGGACCTGTAACAGACTTGTAATCTCAAGACAATATTCGACGATCTAAGCTCTCTATTTGAAAACAAGACTTAATAGATATGGTTGAAGACAAGGTAAAACTAAAATGAAATATAAGGTTGTAATTTCAAGCATTCCATTGTTATGTTTATAAGCTTATATAATCTAAATTTACACATTTTTTTTCATAAATTTGGTAGTAGTGTGGGGCATCTGTGTTACCTTAGGTATTTGTAAATGTTTCTTTTGTTGGTGCTAGAAAAGTTAAAGATAGTATTTTTTAGTCTTTATAAATAACAAAAAAAAAACACAAATCTGAAAAAATACTTTATCTAAAACTAATGGTGATACAGGGTGGCCGAATGTTTAATATAGGGTTTTCTTTTTTGAGATTTCTACTGATTTTTTTTTTGGAGATATACAGTAGGATTGAAATATATTTGTACACTTGTATGTTGTGTCTTTTTTGATCACATTTTAAATATAACATAATATCGGAATCTATCATAAACTTATATACCCAGGGGTTTTTAAAATACGATAATTCTTAAACTATAATTCTCAGCACATTTAAAGCTCTATCAAAATTATAAATATCATTTTTCCACTATCATTTTTTTTTAATGAAATACGATTTGTTGTTTGAATTTTTTGCTGTAACTGCTAGTAAACGCCACGAATATTTGGGAGTGATTCATCGGTCGCTACCATGTGAACTAATCTGTTCAAGGTCACATAAAACTTAATTCCAGTGCCGTGGTGTTTAAAGTCATATAATAATCAATATATAATCTGAGGTAATTTGTTGTTTTAAGTTCAAAGTCTTGTGAAAACATATATTTGGTTATAAATATAAAATGGAAAGCCCTATTGGTCGCACAGCAATAGACTGACGCATAAAAACGAATCAATCAAAGAAACGCGATATAGTATCGTCTTTGTCAATCACGCTAACATTTTAGAATAAGTAGGAGGAGCGCAGGCAGATGATTAGACCGGGCCTTTAAAAACTTAGTTCTGCGATAAAAATTTACGTTTTAAATGTAAAAATGATAGCGCGCGTGTCGATTCTAACTTCATCAAGCGATGAATCACTCCCAAACATTCGTGGCGTTTACTATATTAATTGAAACTCTTAATACAAAATTAATATTTACACAAATACTCATAATAACATATAAAACTAATTAAGATTTACTGTGCCGATGCAATTGATAATAATTATTAAATAATGAATATAAACTATATAAATTGGATATAAATCAACCCCAAACCAAACCATCCCATTTAAAAAGCTTCAGCTTTAAAAGAATAATTTATTTGAATCATCCTGTATATCTCTATGAAAATATTTGTACGGAAACCTGATCTAGAACTTTTTTTGATCGTTTGATCATAGACGTTTATCATTTCTACCAACTGCATTTTTTTTGTTATTTTTGTCTATTACTTGTAATTTTAAGCAATAAGATTTTGTGATTATTTAAATTCATTTGATCAAGGATCAAGATACAATCTCGCATTTCAATAACAAGAATTAAAAAAATTTATTTTTTAAAGGATGTCGAATTGTGGGAAAGATAATCTCTAACTATTTTTTAGAGCGTTGTTATTGATTTTATGGATTTTTTCTCAATCTTTATATTATATCAATACACATAACATAAGGCAAGAAATATACATTTCTATAGAAAACTGCCAATTATATTTGATTAATATACAATATTCTGTTTATATACATTACAAATTAGTTATAACATACTCTAAAATTGGCATGTTAGTTTAGTCAACATCATTTGTAAACATAAGTTGGAATTTACTTTTAAGTAACAAACTGTATTTTTTATTATTTTTTTTTTCGTACACAGAAATATACAAATTTTCTTTTATTATGAACTTGCAGGGTCTTCAAACAGTGTCTTATAACTCATATCTTTACTGTTATTATTATTATTTAGATGGGGTATTAGGTAGATTTATAATATTCTGATATAGTAAGAATATAAAAACCTATTAATCAGACTGACACGGTAATATTTGTTTAATAATTATTTATAATAATAGGTCTAATTAATTTTGCTCACTTGGTCAAGGTACTTACTTATAATAGTGCTATAATAAGTGTAGAAACTTCCACGGTAGCCTTAATTAATATTAAATATATTATAATAGTAAATCAATATTTATATGATAGTGAATGATAATTTTTTTAAATCATTCTAATACAATCAGACCGTTAATATTGGTCAAATTATAAAACAAGTGGATCTAAATTTTATTGAGATTGTATTTTACATATCGTATGTAAGTGTTTTTGTTTTGTTTCTAACGTTTAACACTAGTTAGTATCAATATCCATGTGCCTAATGATTACACAATAAATCGGAATTCACTGAAATGTTCATTTATACTAGGTTATTTAGTATGAAATAAAGTAATATTTTTTCAACATGTTGTTTCCTTTAATTATAGATAAAAGAAATAAATTTTGATTGGAATGCTTGGGTTTTGGATCACGTACGTTGTACAAGGACAGAAATCCTTTTCTCTTGTCAAAGTCAATATCTTCAAAAATTAAAAAAAAACAAAGAAATCTCAAAAATTTAAACCGTCCTTGTTGAAAAAATACCGAAAAGTGTATAAAAAGCGTTCTTTTTCAAAGTTATTGTGAACCTGAGAATTTAATTTGAACTGTAATTAAGCAAAATCCTTTATAATTGTGGAAAAGCGGCATTGAAAAGTTAAAAACTGCTGTGTGAACTGCAAAACCCAACGTGGGATAAAATTTATTTTATCCCACATTGGTTTTGTCCCAACAATTTTGTCCCCAATGGTTTCCAAAAAGTGATCCATAATATTTCAAACTTTGAATTAGTACTGTTAAACATGGGGGGATTAATTTAACTGTGATCCAACATTAATAATAAATATTATAGATATTAGGGTCCGAACTTTTCGCTTCACAGCTGTTTTTACAGTATTTTTAATATATTTTGGTGATTTCATGTAACACACTATATTTTATATAAGAAAGTAATAATAAATTTGAAAAAATAATATTTTCCGATATAATTGCGGAAAATACCGAACCGCTCCCAAATTATCAAAAGCTTTGCATCGCGACCGCTGCAAGAACAGCGCCAAATAATATTTACATTGTCCTTATGGGCACTTTCCAGTGTGAACTTGTTTCATTTATCTATGCCTTTAATATTCAAAATATTAGACTAGTATGTTTGGGCTACTAAAATATATATATATATATATATATATATATATATATATATATATATATATATATATATATATATATATATATATATATATATATATATATATATATATATATATATATATATATATATATATATATATATATATATATATATATATAAAAGGAGAAAAGATTAAACGGCTCAGCCCTCAACAACTCGTAACCGTATACACCAGTATACACCAGTGCAGACACACACACTCACACAACCACACCTACACTAGTGTAACTGCCTTCAGGCTTCATCAGTACGGTAAAGAATCAGGAAGCGAAGAAACCGATCCCAAAACACAAAAAAACCAGGGTGCAAACGATGCAACGAGGCACCGTGTGCAACCCAGGAGATGGAAAAACAAAATTGATGAAGAAACGAAAATAAAAGATGGAAAATAAAAGGAACAAACGGGAGCCTAAAGCCCCAATTTGCAGCCAAGAACCAGAGTCGCGCAGGATTGTGGGCTTCGCCCAGAACAGCCGCGGAGGTAGCCAACAGCAACCCGCCGCAATACCCTTAGCCGTGGTACCAATATGAAAAAGAAATAAATAGTGAGGGAAATGTAAAAAAAAAGAAGATCCATAAAGCAAAATAGATTTGACATTGCTATTGAAGAGCTGGACTTTAGTTTTTTTGCTATTTATAGAGGAGTTCCACACAGGTGTAAGCATGCCAAAAGCTCTTTGTGCCTTCAAAATCCTTTCCTCTATATCTTTCTCTGTGCCCCCAGCGCTGTGAACCATACTTCCCAGGTAATGAAATTCATCAACTCTTTCGATGGCTCGGTTGGAGAGGTATAGATCTTGGTTGTTGGGAGTATTTGGCCTCATTTCTTTGGTTTTCGCCACGTTGATTTGAAGACCGACATTATTAGCTTCCTCTTGGAGTCTAAGAAGTTTTTGAGACATATCCGAATGTGAATGGGAAAAGATGCATAGATCGTCTGCGTAATCCAGGTCTTCTAGCCTGTTTAACAGTCCCCATTGTATCCCTAGTGGTTCTTTAAATGCTCTATTTAGTGCTACATCCAGAACGATGTTAAAGAGTAGCGGCGAAAGTATACACCCCTGTTTTACACCTACTGCAATAGAAATTTTCTCCCCCGCTTGACTTTTATGTAATACACAGCTTGTAGCATCATGATAAAGCATTTTAATCATGCGGATTGTTTTTTCGGGTATTCCTTTTTCTCTCAAAGCTTTCCAGATGGCTATGTGTTTTATAGTATCGAATGCTCTTTGAAAATCCACAAACGCCATGTATAATGGCGATCTGAACTCTTGAGATTGCTCTATTATTATTCTGAGAGTATTAATTTGGTCGATACATGATCTTTCAGGCCTAAAGCCTGCTTGTTCTTTTCTCAAAGTCGGTTCAAGGGCATCTGATATTCTTTTTTGGATGACTATAGCAATTATCTTGTTAATGGTGTTAAGTAAGGTAATGCCTCGCCAGTTTTTACACTGGGATAAGTCGCCCTTCTTGGGGAGTTTTGCAATAAGTCCTTCTTTCCACGTTGACGGGATATGTTCTGTTTCCCAACTGCTTTTTATTATTGTCTCTAGTAGCTGTGCAATGTTTTCTGGGTGTATCTTAAATAGTTCAGCGGGTATATTATCAGGACCTGCCGCTTTGCCAGTTTTAAGCTGTGATAATGCTTGCTTAATTTCTTGAATCGATGGAGCACGTGTTGCGATTCTAGATTTGCAGTTCTCTGTTGGAGACGTTGGTACAATTACAGTATACTAAGGATATATTAGGTATGTGTATTGTCGTGAAAAAAAAAATTGTGTCTCTAATGGGTTAGGAAATATTTCCCCAGACGACATCAAAAAATGACAGAAAATACAATAATTTATCTGTGAATTAAAATGACAACGCAATTAAAAACACGCAAATGTCACTGTCATGTCTCCTACTGTCAAGCCGTTATTTAGGTATTCCTTTTCCATGCTAAACACTATTGTAGTATTGCAAAATGGTAATTTTTTACTTTGAAAATATATTAATTTCACAAATAACAATGTCAAAACTTGTACAGAATATCCCATTTTCGTGTGTTTTACAGAGTTTCTCGTTTGTGAGTGAAAGATGCTGTTTTCATATCATTGTGCTACTTTTATGAAACTAAAGATGTTACACATATATTTCTCCTAACCGAGTTCATGAAATACAGGGTGTAGAAATGTTTCTGTATTTCAGGAACTAAGAAGGGCGTGACAAATCTGTGTGGTTCTTTAGTTTCATAAAAAAGTAGCAGAGTGATGTGAAAACCGCATCTCTGTTGACACCCTGTACATTTACAATAAGAAAAACAAACAGCATTCCCAACTATTTCAAACATTGTTGATATAGTCTGTAAAACGAATAACTTTGAATTTGACAGTTCCCGCGGGCTTTTCTAGTGTAAATTTTATTAGGTTAGCAACTTGCGGCCATGCTGATGCAATGCCGTCTCTAATAGAACAGCCTCCGAGCGAGATTTATGACGTCACGCTAGTTAGATACTACGGATTAATTATGTTGTAGAATACATGGAAAACATAATTGTTCCTCGTATATGTAATTTTTTGGATTATATTCAACACAATTTTTTTCATATGACACAACACTGATGAAGGCTATAAACGTTAGCTATAACGTTTTTTTAAACCAACATAAATAATGAAAAACCAAATAAAAACTTAATCAGCGTTTTTCCCGAACCTAAATCCCAAGAAAATCAAAAATTTTAGAATA